TAGAAAACAAAAGGCTTAAAGTTTTGGATGTATGACTTGCAAACTTTCTCATCCTAAGAGTCCATGCAAAAATCCATTGCTAATGAAATAAGGATTGAAGTAAAAACCCTCTGCCCTTGGAAATAGCATAGGTAGCAAACACCAATACTAAGCAGATGTCTGCTGCCACTGGAGAAGGGTCAAGCACCTGACTATAGATGTCTATCTTGTATCACAGACATGCAGTAACTTTGAAAGCTGCAGATGAAACAGACACACTGAAAAATCTCTTCTAGCACCCTTTGCTTTTGGCACACAGTAAAAATATACCACTTCTGGAAGAATTTGAACCCTATGCAACACTAAAAATTATAATAGAAACAATAAAATCCAAGCCCGGTTCAACTCCTGACTACATTAATTTAACCTTGCACAGTAGTGGCCTGATAAAAGAGGTGTGCCCATTTCTGTGTATAAATATTGCTTACCTGAGTCTCTACTATTCTTATATACATACTGTCCAGCATTCAATGAAAAATCGTGAGATGCACAAAAAGCAAGAAAGAGTAAGCCACTGTTTTATCAAGAAATAAAACAGTCAAGAGAACCAGAATCAGAGATAAACCAGATTTTAGAAATAACAGGGAGGGAGTTTGGAATAACTATGTTTGAATGTTAAAATGATCCAATGGAAAAGATAAGCAACATATATAAACATATGGAGAATTTTTTCACCAAGATAAAAATTATAGGAAGAGTTAAAGAGAAATGCTAGAAATAAAAAAGAATATCAGAGATGAAGAATTCCTTCATTAGGCTCACCAGAAGATTGAACATAGCTAAGGAAAGAATGATTTAAAGACAGTGACAATAGACACTATCAAACTGAAACACAAAAGAGAAAGGAAAACAAAACAAACAGAACGTGTAAAGAGCTCTGAGACAGCATATGGTCACAAATCAACTAACATGTATAATCAAAACCCCAGAAGAAGAGAGAGACAATGGGGAAGGAGAAATATTTAAAAAGGTAATGGTTGAGAATTTTCTAAAATTAATGAAAGACAATAAGCAATATAGCCAAGAATCCCTAAAACCCCAAGCAAGGTTAAAAAAAAAAAAAAACAACTAGGTATATTATCATTAAACTGTTGAAAACAAAACATAAAAAGAATATATTGAAGGCAGCCGGAGGTAGAGGTTGGGAAGAGTTTAAACATAGAGGAACAAGGACACAAACTGAAGCATCCTTCTTGGAAAATATGCAAGCCAGAAGACAATGAAATAACATCTTTAAAATACTGAAAAAAGAATAATTCTTAACATCTTAGGTGTGACAATGGTAATGTGGTATTATATATTTTTTTCTCAATAGCTCTTATACTTAATGATTCACACTAGGGCTTGTTTCACACACTAGAGAGAGGCACTCACCTTGCAGATGAAGATAAAGATAAAGTAAGACTGATCATGAGTTGATGAAGATTGAAACTAGGTGATAGGCCCACGGGAATTCAATATGATATAGTCTCTACTATCATAACATTTTTTTAAGGGGCACCTGTGTGGTTCAGTGGTTGAGCGTCTGTCTTCAACTCAGGGCATTATCCTGGGGTCCTGGGATCAAGTCCTGCATTGGGCTCCCTGCACAGAGCCTTCTTCTCCCTCTGCCTATGCCTCTGCCTCTCTCGTTGTATCTCTCATAAATAAATAAATAAATAAAATCTTAGAAGAAAAAAATTTTTAATTGCCATAATAGATAATTTTGTAAAGAAATGGAAACTTTAAAATATTTTTTATTTGAGTACAGTTGACACACAATGTCACATTAGTTGCAGGTATACAACATAGTGATTCAACTTCTCTATACATAATGTAATGCTCACCACAAGTGTAGCTACTATCTGTCACCATATAACACTAGCACAATACCATTGACTATATTCCCTGTGCTGTGCCTTTCATTCCCATGACTTATTCATTCCATAACTAGAAACCTGGATCTCCTACTCCTCTTCACTTATTTTGCCTATCTCTCCCCCCACCCCCATTGGCAACCATCAGTTTTTTTCTTTGTATTTAAGAGCCGATTTTTATTTGTCTCTTTTTTCTTTGTTCATTTTTTTGTTGTTGTTCCTTAAATTCCACATATGAGTGAAATCATACATTACTTGTTCTTCTCTACTGATCTATTTGACTTAGTGCTCTACCCTCTGGGTCCATCCATATTGCTGCAAATGGCGAGATCTCATTCTTACTGTGGCTGAGTAATATTCCACTGTGTATATATACCACATTTTGTTTTTTTTTAATTTTTAAAATGTTTTTATTGGAGTTCAATTTGCCAACATATAGCATAACACCCAGTGCTCATCCCGCCAAGTGCTCCCCTCAGTGCCCATCACCCAGTGACCCCCACCCCCCACCCACCTCCCTTTCCACTACCCCTTGTTCGTTTCCCGGAGTTAGGTGTCTCTTGTGTTTAGTCACCCTCACTGATATTTTCACTCATTTTCTCTCATTTCCCCTTTATTCCCTTTCACTAATTCTTATATTCCCCAAATGAATGAGACCATATAATGTTTGTCCTTCTCCGATTGACTTATTTCACTCAGCATAATACCCTCCAGTTCCATCCACATCGAAGCAAATGGTGGGTATTTCTCGTTTCTAATGGCTGAGGAATATTCCATTGTATACATAGACCACAGCCTCTTTATCCATTCATCTTTTGATGGACACCGAGGCTCCTTCCACAGTTTGGCTATTGTGGACATTGCTGCTAGAAACATCAGGGTGCAGGTGTCCCGGCGTTTCACTGCATCTGTATCTTTGGGGTAAATCCCCAGCAGTACAATTGTTGGGTCGTAGGGAAGTTCTATTTTTAACTCTTTGAGGAACCTCTACACCATTTTCCAGAGTGGCTGCACCAGTTCACATTCCCACCAACAGTGCAAGAGGGTTCCCCTTTCTCCACACCTTTATTGAAGAGACTGTCCTTTGTCCAGTGGATAGTCTTTCCTGCTTTGTCGAATATTAGTTGACCATAAAGTTGAGGGTCCACTTCTGGATTCCCTATTCTGTTCCATTGATCTATGTGTCTGTTTTTGTGCCAGTACCATACTGTCTTGATGACCACAACTTTGTAGTACAACCTGAAATCTGGCATTGTGATGCCCCCGGCTCTGGTTTTCTTTTTAAATATTCCCTTGCTATTCGGGGTCTTTTCTGATTCCACACAAATCTTAAGATGATTTGTTCCAACTCTCTGAATAAAATCCATGGTATTTTGATAGGGATTGCATTAAATGTGTAAATTGCCCTGGGTAGCATTGACATTTTCACAATATTAATTCTTACAGTCCATAAGCATGGAGTATTTTTCCATCTCTTTGTGTCTTCCTCTATTTCTTTCAGAAGTGTTCTGTAGTTTTTAGAGTATAGGTCCTTTACCTCTTTGGTTAGGTTTATTCCTAGGTATCTTATGCTTTTGGGTGCAATTGTAAACGGGATTGACTCCTTAATTTCTCTTTCTTCAGTCTCATTGTTAGTGTATAGAAATGCCACTGATTTCTGGGCATTGATTTTGTATCCTGCCATGCTGCCGAATTGCTGTGTGAGTTCTAGCAATCTTGGGGTGGAGTCTTTTGGGTTTTCTATGTATAGTATCAGGTCATCTGGGAAGAGGGAGAGTTTGACTTCTTCTTCGCCAGTTTGAATGCCTTTTATTTCTTTTTGTTGCCTGATTGCTAAGGCTAGGACTCTAAGGACCTCTAGTACTATGTTGAATAGCAGTATATACCACATTTTCTTTATCCATTCATCTATGGGTAGATGTTTGGGTGATTTTGCTTTTTGTCTATTCATTTGTTTTTTAGATTCTACATATGAATGAAATCATATTTATTTATGTTTCTCAGTTTGACATTTCACTTAGCATAATGCTCTTTAATTCTGTCCATGTTGTTGCACATAGAATTATTTCATCCTTTTTATGGCTGTGTAATATTCCAACACACACACACACACACACACACACACACACACACACACCTGACATCTTCCTTATCCATTCATCTGTCAATGGTCACTTAGTTGCTTCCATATCTTAGCTATTGTAAATAATGCTGCAATGAACATAGAGGTGCATATATCTTTTCAAATTAGCATTTTCATCTTCTTTGGGTAAATACCCACCATGGACAAAAATACACTTCAAATGGATTAAAGAACTGAAACCATAAAAATGTGACATTGGCTACAGCAACATTTTTCTAGATATGTCTCCTAATGCAAGGGAAACAAACACAAAAATAAGCTATTGACGCTACATAAAAATAAAAAGTGTTTGCACAGGAAAGGAAACCAGGAACAAAATGAAAAAGGCAACCTACTGAATGGGAGAAGATATTTGCAAATAATATGTCTAATAAGGGGTTAATATCCAAAATATATAAAGAACTTATGCAACTCAACACCAAAAAACCCCCAAACAATCTGATTTTAAAATGGGCAGAGGACCTAAATAGACATTTTCCAAAGAAGTACAGATGGCCAACAGACACATGAAAGAATACTCAACATCACCAATCATCAGGGAAATGCAAATCAAAACCACAATGAGATACCACCTCACACCAGTCAGAATGACTAAAATCAACAACATTCAAAAAAACAGGTGTTGGTGAAGATGTGGAGAAAGGGGAACCCTTGTGCAATGCTGGTGGAAATGTAAACTGGTAGAGTCATTGTGGAAAAGAGTGTAGAGGTTCAACAAAAAATTCAAAATAGAATTACCATATGATCCAAAACTGGAGTTTTTTTTAAAAAAAGAAAAAAATGGACATAAGACATGAATGTATGATAGCACATATCCCACCAGGTTTCTTTGATTTTTTTCCTCTAATTATCTCTTCCTGTAGCCTTTGATTCACGGTGGGGTCATAAGCCTCCAAACTGGGGTCACTCAGTGCTGCAGCCACAGCCACCCTCTCCAGTGACATCACCCCAGCAAAACCTACCAGTGCCAAAACTCTCTTCTCCACACAGAGAGCATCGTCCCGAGTCCATCAGATTTGAGAAAAATCTCCATCCCGCTGGGGTCTCATATACAGGGACCTTCATTGATTTGGCCACTCTGAAAAATTAAATTCAAAGCAACAGTCAACTCATGTATCTCTTTTCCTTTCTTTTATCAGCACAGAAGGAAATCTTTAGAACTTAATAACTCCATAACTAGATTTCAGAACATGCTGGACAGTGTTGACATTTTTCAGGATGTTAAGCCATAGGCAGAAAATGGTATATAGTCTATTCCAGTGGTTCTTAGTTTTGCTCTCCCCATAATATAGAAAATATTAAGTTAATGTATAGGATATTCTCACATATCTGTTTCCCTTCTATTAATGTTCCTTTATCTTCAGGGTAAGATCCTACTTGGGGATCTCAGAATCTTTTTTTTTAAAGATTTTATTTATTTATTCATGAGAGACACACACACACACACACACACACAGAGAGAGAGAGAGAGAGAGAGAGAGAGAGAGGCAGAGACACAGGCAGAGGGAGAAGCAGGCCCCATGCAGGGAGCCTGACGCAGGACTTGATCCCGGGACTCCAGGATCACTCCCTGGGCCGAGGGCAGGTGCTAAACCACTGAGCCACCCAGAGATCCCCTCTCAGAATCTAAATTAAGAGGGAGTTTGGGTACAAACACTTTGGAATATTGTTTGACAATATCTATTAAAGATGAATATGCACATATCTCATGAATCAGCAATTCACCTCCTAGAAATTACTATTAACATGTAGTAGACACTGTGGTGCACATCTCTGCCTCACTGTCCACACACACACACAGTAGGACTTTTAGGATTGGAATACTCATTCTACCAGTTCCTAGAAATGTTGATGGCCAACAGTTCACAGATGTGGCCTGCACTCTCTGCCAAAGAGAGATGTCACATTCAAAATCATGCTTTCTTTCCTGGGTCAATCCACATCCAATGACTGGTAAATGAAGGATGTATAAAGGTCCAGCTTCCTTGCCCCTATTTGGCACAGCTTTGTGGGACCATTTCAGCTCTAGAGCTCCCTACAGGTTGGCTGAGTCCTTTGCTGTGACTGTACTGCAGTTCAATTTCTCTCTCTGTGTCCAGTTCCTCCTTTGCTTCCATATAGGTGCTGATCTTGAGGACAACTTCAGCCTTGATGGCAAGGAAGGAACAAATTTCTTGCAAACAAAATCTCTCTGAGGGCTGATACCTGGGAACCCAGTGTGTGACATTACTCAAAAGAGAATGTACACAAGATTTTACAAAAATGATCATAGCATCACAATTCATAAGAACTGAACAAACCAAACATCCACTGAGTAGAAAGGACAGATGATTTGTGATACACAATGCACTCTCATAAATTTCATTGAACAAACTATTGCTACATGCAACAACTTGGATGAATCTCACAAACATTATAGTAAGTAAAAGAAAGTGGGAACAAGAAAATATACACTGTAGGGGCACGTGGATGGTTCAGCTGGTTAAACATCTGCCTTTGGCTCAGGTCATGATCCCAGAGTCCTGGGACAGAGCCCCACATCAGGCTCCCTGCTCAGTGGGGAGTCTGCTTCTCCCTCTCCATCTGCCTCTTCCCCACTCATGCTTTCTCTTTCTCTCTCTCTCTCTCTCAAATAAATAAATAAATAAAAGCTTAAAGAAAATAAATACTGCATTGTGCCACTGAGATAAACTTCAGGAACAGCTAAAACTAATCAGTGCTGTCTCCTTTCAGGCTCAGAGGATCAGAGAGGTCAAGTGTTCTGTTTACAGTTTCACAGAGGTAAGAGGCAAAGCTAGAATTTGGACACAAATCTGCTTAATTGCTGCTCATGTTCCACTCCACTATACCATGGTGTCTCCCCAAACGTTGTAAGAGGTACGTAGATCTCAGGGAGTATGTTGGGAAACAATCTAGTACTGTACCATTGACCTAAAGAGCTTCCTCTTCTCCACATGCAAGCAGCCAAAACGCAAAACACCAAAGGCCTGCCACCAGCAAAATTTAGTTTTTCCAAGGCTGTAAGTGCAGACGATGGCCAGGGAGAGGAACCAATGAGGGTATCTTGGTGAAGAAGAGGAAAAAAGGTATACAGAGGACAAAGGGCACAATGAAATAATGATTTCTTTAGGTTTGCTTTGTGGCCAGCTAGAGAAAAAAAAATACCAAGAAACTCTTGCCACAGGAAAGTGAACACCTTCCTTTCCATAATATCCAAATATAGCCAATGTGTTCAGGACTTTGAAAAATTATATACTAAATCTCTTTCAAGTTTGCTTTGAAAAGAAGCACTTTTTAGATATTCGGATATTATATCAAAGGCTTTGTTGTTGTTGGTTGTTTAATGGTCTAAGAAATATATGCAATCATACTTATATCCTGGTAGGAACAATGAAAGAAATCCTTCCCAAACTTTAGATCAAAGGTACATTTTCATAGCCATCAATTTCATAGTCAGAAGCTGAGGGAAAGAGGATTAATTCACACAGAAACTTCCAGAGTCAGCAGATAGTGAAGCCTAGGTCAAAACTAATTTAGCAAATATGAATGCATATTATTAGAATGTGCAACATGGAGCAGATGTAAGGGTAAGAAAAAGGGTAGAGAGTGTGGGGACACATATTTTCTGGCTAAAACATTCTTGTAGGTTCAAAGCCAAGTTGGCAGATCTGAAGGGAGGGGAAAGGATTTCCCTTGCTCCCACCCTTCTCCATTAATCACTGTCAGGAGGTCACTGGGCTGAAGGTTGAGGCTGGATTTTAAAGGACCGGATACTTCTATAACTATAAGCCACAGTTGCAGCTATGCAAGCTAAGAAAACAATGTGGGTAATTAAGTTCTGGGATCCTGAGCATGAGTCGATTGTGCCCTAGAGTCAGAAAGGAATTCCCCTCCCTCCTCCCTCTTCTGAACTTGGGATCCATCCCAAACACAGCACTCAGCAGATACCATGCTCTAGACTGGTTTTTGGCAGGAGATCCCCTGGAGAGTTTCTGAAAGCTTAAAATGAAGCTGCTCATGCTGAGGGTCTTCATCTCTCTTAACCACTGCCACCATGTGCTGGAGACAAACAAGAACTCACTTTCTAGGGAAGACTAGAGTATAAAGAAAAAGAAAGAAAAAAAGTCTCAACAACCATTTTCCAGCAAGTGGGGGGTTGAGATCTGGAGTTAAAAAAAAAAAGAACAGGGATGCCTGGATAGTACCCTCATTAAGTCTCCAAATTTTGGTTTCAGCTTAGGTGTCAGGGTCTGCACACAGCATGGAGTCTGCTTAAGACTCTCCCTTGGCCCCTCTCCTTATGTGCACATGCACATGCACACTCTCTCTCACACATAAATAAATCTTTAAAAAAGAAACAACAAACAAAAAAAAAAAACCCATGGTGGATGTAAGCTTCTCAGTTTGATTTTTAAATCCTCTAAAAATGTGCTTCAGGTTGGAAACAGCCTCAACCTATCTTTCCAACAGTTTCTCTCATGAAAGTCACTATAAGTTCCTAATAACTGGACCATCTCTTATTTTCCAAATTTGCTCTTTCATTTTTGCTGTTGTTTACTGCTCCTGAGTCCTTCTTCATGCTTTTCATTTTACCTGGATTAATCCTTTCCAATCTCTGTCAAAATACTTCATGTTGTTTCAAGACCTTCCTTCCTTTCTTTCTTTCTTTCTTTCTTTCTTTCTTTCTTTCTTTCTTTCTTTCTTTCTTTCTTTCTTTCTTTCGATTTTATTTATTTATTTGAGAGAGAGAGAGACTGTATGTTTGTGTGTGTGTGTGTGTGTGTGTGTGTGTGTGTATGAGAGAGAGAGAAAGAGTGCACAAGCACGGGGAGGGGCAGAGGAAGAGGGAGAAGCAGGCTCCCTGGGGAGCATGGAGCCTGACTTGGGGCTCAATCCCAGGACCCTGGGATCATGACCTGAGCCAAAGACAGATGCTTAACCGACTGAGCCGCCCAGGAGCCCTGTTTAGACCTATCTCAAATGCCCTGCCACCATGAAGCCTGTGGCAAAGGCTGCTAGATGACCAACAAATCCATCTCTTCTGGACACACGGTGGACTACACTTACCACCCTCCCTTCCAGTCAGCTATGGCCACATGGTGGAGTTCCAGCCAGTGGAACTTGAGTGGAAATGACATATACCCTTTTTAGATCTGGCTATGAAAACTTCCCATCCCCCATGTTCTTTCTTCTTCTGCCAGCTTCAAGTGGACAAGCCCAGCAAACCTGGAAGCTATACACTGAAGACAGCAGACTCACAATGTGGAAGAATCTAGGTCTCTAAATTGCCAGTTGGAGCAGAATCAACCATCAATCAGGAACACCTATTTTTAACTTTTGATGACTGAGAATATTGTATTGTAGTAGCAGCTCTATTTTCTTAATCAATATGACCCTTCTTCATTATTACAATCAAACCAAAGTAACCCTTCCTGCTATTATGTTTCCTTTTACTTAGCATAGGTCTTTATGTTCATGTTGTCATTGATGTTGTCACATCCTTAACACTTTTCTTCTACACACAGATGCACACTACCATCACTACCAATGTATTAGACATTCTTTGACGCAGAAATTAAATCTTATATACTTTTATAGCTCTTCAGTGTTTAAAATAATATAACAGCTTATCAGATCTGCCCTTAATAAATTCTGTATGATTTCAGTTGACTAATACCTATTATTTAATGGCTGTTATTGGATAGCAGGGAGTAAAATATCTCTATTTTATGGTCTTTTTATCTTGTAGTTTCCTAAAAATAAAAATATAAAAAAATGTCATTTCTGCATGTTTTATTTATTTTAAAAGATTATTTATTTATTTATTTATTTATTTATTTATTTATTTATTTATTTATGAGAGAGAGAGAGAGAGAGAGAGTGTGAGAAGGGGAAGGGGCAGAGAGAGAGGGAGAGAGAATTCCAAGCAGACTCTGTGCTGAGTGCAGAGCCCCACGTGAGGCTCAATCTCATAACCCTGAGATCATGACCTGAACCAAAATCAAGAGTCAGAGGCTCACCAACTGAGCTACTCTAGGTGCCCCACTGCATGTTTTATTTAAATTAATCATTTTAAGA